TGTTATTTTATCATAAAGCTCTGGAATTTCTAACTGTTTCTTATGTAAGATTTCTACCTCTTTAATGAATTTTTCATTTTGTTCTTGTATTGTTTTCCTGAATTCTTCTAAAAAGTTTCCCGTGTTTTCCTTTATTTCATTAAGAAAACTTAGTAATAGTTTTTTGACGTCTTTGTCAGGAATTTCATAGTGACATACGCCTGAAACATTAGGCTTGTTTTTCACTGGAGAATAAACAGAAAACATCCACTGTCCTGATGATTCCCAAACCTCCATATCTTTTATAGTTCCTTTTATAAGTTTCTTTTCATCTTTCTGCTCATCAGAGTTAAGTGAAGTAAGTGAGCTCTGAGATAATCTCAAATCTCCACTGCTGCTAGATGAAGTTCCAGAACCAAGAGTGCTGCCTGATGGATTCACTTGCTCTCTGCTGCCCCCTAATGGCGGAGACTTGGAGAAACTGGATGGCTGGATCACACTGGAGGATCTCTGATTACCGTCATTCCACTGTCTGGTACTACCTGAGGCCTGCTGCTGAGGTTGCTTCCGCGCCCCGCCTGCACTCCTGGCACGAGGATGCTCATTCCAGCACCGATCTCCAAAGCGGCACCGGCCTTGAAGGAAGAACTGACAAATGGCCATGGCGACGACTCGCCACAGAGCGATCTTCACTCAGCACGCCGAACAACCTCATATATTCATCTTATATAGTTCTTTCCTTCATCTGTTTCAATGTCACAAACATTATTTATCCCCTCTTTTCTTAGTTTCCTCCCAAATCCCATACCAGTCCTGTTTTAAAATAGTGGTATTAAGCAGTTTTTGTCTTTTTGTGACTGAGATATTTCACTCAGCATGTCTTCTATGGTCACCCATTTTGTATAACAGTTCATGAGCTTTTTGTGTTTTTCAGTGCTACATAATACTCCATTTTGTGAATATAACACAGCTTCTCCATTCATTTCTTGATGGGCACTTGGGATGTTTCCAAGTCTTGGCTGTTGTGAACAAAGCAGCAATAAACATGAGTGTGCATATATCTGCTTGGGTGGCAGTTCTGGTTTCTTTAGGGTATATTCCCAGTAGTGGAATTACTGGATCAAATGGTTTTTCTATTTCCAACATTTTGAGAAAGCGTCATATTGCCTTCCAGGGTGTTTATATCATTTTACACTTCCATCAGCAGTGGCTAAGGATCCCAGTTTCTCCACAACCTCACCAGCATTTGCTGATTGCTGCTCTGTTGAATTTTATTATTGTTACTGGGGTGAGATGATATCTCATAGCTGTTTTTATTTGCATGTCTCTTAGAGCTAAGGATTTTGAACATTTCTTCATTTGTTGTTTGCCATCTGAATGTCTTCTTTGGTGAAGTGTCTGTTCGTATCCTATTCTCATTTTGTAGTTAGGTTGTTTACCTTTATCTTGTTGTTTACTAGATTGCTTATCATGTTGGAGCTCGAGTATTCTATAAATTCTATATATAAGTCCTTTATCATGCATGTCATTACCAAATAATTTTTCCTCCAGTCTGTGGCCTTTTTACCCTCTTGGAGAAGTTTTTGGATATGCATAGAAGGTCCCATTTATCTATTTTATCTCTCCTGTTTGTAAGTTTTTCAGGATACTTGGAAGACTGTATGTTGTGGATAAGTGCTTCTAGGATTCTTCTAAATTTTTCTCTAATGAAGTTTATAGTCCTTGGTTTTAGTCCCAGGTCCTTTATCCACTTTTAGTAGGTTTTTGTGTATGGTATAAGGTGTGTGTCATGGTTGAGTTTTCTGCAAATGGTTTTCCAATTTTGCCAACACCATTTGTTAGAAAAGATGTCATTTCCCCACTTAACTGATTTCATCTCCGTGTTTCTAAATTGGGAAAGAGGAGGTAAAATTGTCTCTCTATGCAGATGATATGATAATATACTTAGGAAACCCTGAAGACTCAGCAAGAAAACTACTGGACATAGTTAAGCAATTCAGCAAAGTGGCAGGATGCAAGATCAACATACAAAAATAAATTAGATTTCTCTACAGTGACAAAGAGAATATAAAACTGGAGCTAAGAAAAACAATACCCATCACAATAGTTAATCCCAAGATTAAATACTTGGGAGTAAATCTAACTAGAAACACAAAGGATCTACTCAAAGAAAATTACAAAACTTTACTACAAGAAACAAAAAGAGACCTGGGGAAATGGAAGAATATATATACCTTACTCATGGATAGGAAGACTCGATTGTAAAAATGACAATCCAACGGCAATCTACATGTTCAATTCAATCCTCATACAAATAACAATTCTATTCTTCAACAAAATGGAAAAAAAACAATCCCCAATTATATTTGGAATGGAAATAGACCCTGAATATGCAAAGCATTCCTTAAAAAGAGAAACAAGGTATGAGGCATCTCATTCCCTGATTTCAAATACTATTACACTGTTGTGGTGGTCAAGACAGATTGGTACTGGTACATTGACGGTCACATAGATCAATAGAATAGAACCGAGAACCCAGAAATCAGATCTACTGTTTATAGCATTGCTAAGATTCATACTCATCTTGATGGCACATAACAACTATATATAATATTTTATTTCTTCTTATGTTGAGTTGTGCTGCTGGAGAAGAGTCTTGAACATGCTATGGACTGCCAAGAAACGAGTAAGTCTGTCTTGGAGAGAGTAAAACCAAGTTTCTCCTTGGAGGCTAGAATTTTGAAGCTCCGCCTCACTTACTTTGAGCATGTGACCAGCAGAGAACAGTCCTTGGAAAAGGATACCATGCTCAGAAGGGTAGATGGACAGCTCAAGAGAGGGAAACTCTGGATGGATACAGAAACTGGGGTGATGGGGGCTGGTGTGTCAGAATTAGTGAGACTGCCTCAGGCCAGGGAAGGGTTAGATCCTGTACATAGGGTCGTTATGCATCACAGGCAACTCAACCAATAATATTTTATGACGGGTTTGGAAGTAGGAGTGGCATCCACTTCCTAAACAACTTACCTCCGGAAACTCTATGAACTTTAATAAATATTTGTAGAGGGCCTTCAGGCCTTTTGTTCATAGGGTCACTATGAGTTGTGTTTGACTCAAAAGCAATCAACAATAACAACAACATCCTATTGCATTAACAAAAACACTATGAGTAGTTGTCCTCAATAAACATAACTTTATCTTTCTCATTTTACAAATTCAGAAGATTGAGTTGAGGATGTGAGTTCTGAGTTCTATTGTTGTCAGTGATGTCCACTTCAATCCATAAAGGACACAGTTAAGTGAAACACTGTACTATCCTCACAAATTTTGCCATGCATAAATCCTTTATTGCATCATGTGTTAATGATTTTCCTTTCCTTGAACCTTCATTTTTTTCAAATATGTTGTCTCACACCAGGGACATGACTCTTCTAGCCAAATGCCTAGGCAATGCTTTTATCTTTCTTTCTAAAGAGCATTCTGGTGGTACTTTTTCCAAGAAAAATATATTTGTTCTTTTGGCATCCCCTGGTATATTCTTTGCCAAAACTCAATTGAAGGGTAAAAATATTTCTCTTTTATTTTTCTTTAGTTTCTTAATTTCTCATGAATCTAAGGCAACTGAAAATACTATGAGTCAAGAACATTTTAGTCTTTAAAGCAATATCCTTGTGTTCTAGTTAAATAAACTTTGTTGTTGTTGTGTATCATTTAGTTGGAACCGACCCACAGCTGGCTTTCTAGCCGGTTTTCAAAAGCAGTTAATACAAAAACCCTACAAAATAGGCTTTAAGAGGCTTTCTCTTTCAAGTCTGGAAAAAAGATCTTTGTCTTGTTTCAGCATATATAAACTTGCTATTACTGAGATAGTTCCATGAGTTTACAAATTAATCTTTTCCTAATTCTAGGAGGTTTACCACTCAGAGATTTTGGATTCAACTTATGTATTTCACCCATGAATTTTCTTTCCTGATGGTGCCTAGTCCTCCTGATCTCTGCTTAATAGTTTAATGATTCAAGAAACAACCTATTGGTGAGATTACATATCACTCAATCAATATAACTCCAACTAATCTTTCTTCATTTATATAATGGAGGTTGGGACTGTCAACAGTATTGTTGATGTTAAGTCCTTCGAATCCTCTTCAAATGGTAATCAATCCTGCATACAACAGAACAAAACCCTACCCAGTCTTGCACAATATTCACCAGCTCTGCTGTTCTTCAGCCTATTATTCAAGAAATTGTGTCAATCCATCTCAATGAAAGTAATTGAAATCACTCTATCAATCTGTCTCTGTGAGGGTCTTCCTGTCCTTCTTTAACTCCCACTTTTCAAAGGCACGTGTTTAGAATTAACCAGCTCCTCCATGGAATAAGGATAGACAATATTCTCCCTTCCAATTTAATGTCTCTGAAAACCCACTAGAGGCTCACCTAAGAGTTGGTTCCATCTTGACAGCACATGGTAATAATAATAATAATAATGCTTGTGTCAAGGAGCTCTGGTGGCCTCGTGGTAATAATTTTTACTGTCGATACTAAGTAAAGTGCCTTGATCTACAAGCTGTTTCATGTGAGAAACTTGGACAATCCTCTTCTGTGTCTTTTAATGTCACGGAGTTAGTTCTGACTTGATGGCACACAGCAACAACAGAAACATGACAAAGGTGCACCTTTGTCTTTGAACTGAACTCTCTTCTTTGTAGCATCTTTCAAAAAGTCTTCTGCAACAGATGTTCACATTGAAAAATATCACTTGAATTATTGACACCTGCTTTAAGGTCAGTTGGTTGTGTATCAAAGGAAAGTAAATCTTTGACAAATTCAATATTTTCTCCATTTAACATGTTGTCTGTTATTGGACAAGTGGTGAGGATTTTTATTCCTTTATGCAGAAGTGCAATTCATACTGAATCTTGCTTTTCCTAAGAAAGCTCTTGTGGTGTTAAGTATTTATTGTTTAAAATTGTTTTCTTACTCCTTAACCTTAATTTTGCCAGAAGAATGAGTGACATAATACAAACAGGTTGTGTTAATCTGTCCACAAGAGTATTAACTAGTTTCTCCATTAAACTGAGTGAACTCAGTAGTAGAATTTAGAGAATCTCACCATCAGTAATGAAGAAGCTAAGAATGCAGAGTGTGAGTCTTTCGGAGCCAAAGATTACCTCTCAGACCAGGACATACAGAAGTAGTAACAAACACAGCTGCAACAGAGAACCTACATGAGACAGAGCTGAACCTGGAACTGCTACTCCTAGAAACCAGAACCCTTAAGCCCTAGGCCCAAACTTATTAGAGGACTTCAGGGGAGAGTCATACTTGGCAGGACTAAGAGCTTTGCAATGCCAGCCTAAAACTGCAAAACTAGAGGCAAAAGTGCATTTGAGCACATTTTGAAGTTGTCCTGATTGATTGTATCCTGTTATCAACTTACATTATAGCCTTTAGACTTCCCTAATAAACTTCATTCACTTTCTGTCACTTGTTATGCATCTGAGAGCTAGATCATGAAAAAGGATAACATCAGAAGAATTGAAGCCTTGAATTCTGGTGTTGGAGAAGATTGCCAAATGTTCCATCAACTGCAAAAACAACAAACAGATACCTTTGAAAAGATATAGCCAGGGTGCTCTTTGGAGGCAAAGATGATGAAGGTT